AAATATAAAACTTTTTCCTTTGTTCCATGGTCTCCCTCTCTCTGTCTCTCTCTCTCTCTTTCCAACTGTCGTGGTGTTTTTTTATGTGCTGTTTGATATTGTGCTCTCTTGGGCATGGGGATGCTCCTAGAGTGACAGGAGACTCTCACAGGGACTTGAGACCCTTGCCCTAAAACTTGGAACGTGCAGCCCAGCAGCTGCTGGGGTCCCCCTGCCACAAGCCCACAAGATTGATAACACATTGAGCCAGGTATCTCCCTTCCCATGGGACTGCCACTTCAACCCATAGGGTTGCAAACTCTGCACTGGGATGTGGTTGGTACCTGAATTAAGAGCGTACACAAAAATCTCAGAAATCACCCACTAAAGAACTCTTTCATGTCGCCAAAAGCACCTGTACCCCAAAAAGTATTGAAAAAAAATTTTAAAAAGGAGTGGGTGAGAGGCATGCTTTTACTGGGTTGCTCCCTGAACATACTGTGGCACTACCAGCTTGTGGTGGGGACAGCTGCCACCAGGCCCTGCCCTGAAATGGCATGGGTTGTGTGCCTGACCCCAACTCTCACTGGGTGGAGGAAAACAGTGGCCACTGGGTGGGGCAGGGAAGGCAGGGTGAAACTGGGGACACCAGAGGGCAAGGGGTAAGAGGCAGAGAGTCCTGGGCAAGTGGACAGGTGACAGGAGGTGAGATGGCCCGGGGCTGAGGTCCCCAGCCCTCTGTGCATGCTCCATTGTCCCATAAGACCTCATTTACAAAGCATCAATTCAAAGTTGAAATGATTGAGGATTTCAAGATGATGACTAGAGAGGCCACAGAGCACTAAATTCAGGTATGAGACCTTTCTGAGGATGGAGAGACCCTGTGCACCTGTGCTGGCTACACTCTCATGAAGTCCACCCTAGGCTGTGGAGAAAAACTGTAAGGAAAGATTTGTGAGTTCAAAGTGCTTACATACAATAAGTTGGTAAATTTTTTGGAGCAGATACAAGTCAACATACAATGTACATACAGTAGTATGTGATTAAGTGCTATATTTAAGTTTTTTGTATACTGTTACTTTGGAAATTAGTGACTAGTTAGATTTTCTCAGGTTTTTTTCTCTCTCTTCCTTCCGCAAAATATGATTTGGCATGTGTGGCCAAGGCTGAGGTGAGGGGGACACCACTTGATGACATACTGGAATCTTCTATGTGCAAAATTTTCCCTGGGAGGAAGGCCCATGAGAAAGCCTGGGAGGAGGACCAGAATCAGCGTCCTGGTGTGAAATCCAAAGGGTTGAAGGAAAATCGATTTGATTGAACTGAAAAAGTAGGTCAGAAATTGAGAGAAGGGAGCGGGCCAGGATGTGAGTGTGGATAAGTTGGCAAAGGTCAAGCACAAGTACCTGACCACCTGGCAATGAAATAGCAACTGGGATGCGTATTACAGAGGACTTTAGCGAGAACTCCCATTCCAAAGGGGGAAATTAGTTCTTGGAGGAAGCAGAGGAAAAAGCTCCATCCCTCCAAGACTAAGTGGGTGGATCAGAGCTGCACAAGCCATTAAGCCCCTACCCCGAGCTCCCTCCGTGGAGGGCGGGAGCCTGCTGCGTCCCGACTGGGCATCGAGGGGCCTTTTTGGGTCTCCCTGCCGCGTGTATAGGGTGTTTATGAAGTAAAGGCAGGGTCAAAGGCTGCTAGCGCAATTTACAGCAATTTTGTTTTTTTCCAAATGAGGAAACATTTGGCCAGTTGCTCACTTTCCTCAGGCAGCCAGGGGGCTTGTGACCCAGAGCAGATGACAGCACAGGACAGCTGGCATCGACCCCTGGAAGGGGTAGTCGGTTCTTCAGTTGACAGTTTTTACCACACTCTCACGCGCTGGAGCAGGAGTACAGGCAGGGAAGGCTGCCGGCTCCTCCTGGCCTGGTCGCTTCGCTGTGGTTACAAGACCAAAGCAGAGTGGCTGATGGAGGCTGCTCAGCAGTCCTTTCACTGTGTGTGTTAGCTACTTCTACTTATAAAACAAGGACCAAAAATGCAGATTTGTGTTATTAGACAGTTGAAATATAAACAGCCTAAATGCTTATAAGAGCCAGAGGGGAGGAGGGCTGTTTGCCAATGTATAGGAAGCCCAGCTGAACAACTGTACTTAACTAGCAAGCTACTCCTGTAAATATTTGCAAACGCCCTTTCAAAGCTCAAAAGCCTAGGACAGGATCATTGGATGATTTGCTTAGAAGAAGAAGAAACAAAATTGACCTCATGGTCTGAGGCAGCCATAAAAAGAAAGAGTGTGGATGGGCAGAGGACCAGAAAAGGGGCGGGGGGGATGGTCCAAAGTTTAATAAACACAAAAGAGATAAAAATAAATCTCAAGAGCACTTATTTACAAACTCGATGAAAGGATAAGATTGAGGCGGGTGGGTGTGAAAGATGGGTACTTGTGAAAGTGGAAGAGGCCTGCAGGGATTCCACTGAAAGGGCGGAGGGCGGGGGGGGGAGGGGGCTGCAAATTCAGTGAGATGTTTATTCTTCCTAATGACAGGAAACACGCTGAATTAGCTTCGCTCTTCCAGGATGCTCCTTCAAAGAATGTTTGAAGCTTCTACTGTCCAGTGCGGAGGCTATGCGAAGATGAATGCAGCATCAGCCTGTGGAAGGTTTTGGCCAAGAGGGTGGGCAAAGCCAGAAAGCCTGGCCCCAGACCGGCCTAGCCTTCTCTGGGTATCTGGCCTGTTTTCAGCTCAGCTGGTCAGCATAGGACAAGCTGTTCCAATCATGGGGGCGGGCATATCCCAGAGGAGAAAACGTATTTGTTCTCAGCAACTACCTTGTCAAAATGCTGTGCTAGGGGACTCCAAAAGCCTTTCTGCGCGTACCAGTGCTCCCTGGCCTGGAAGCCGCCCATCAACTAATTCGCAGTGGTGATGCAGTGGATCATCACCATGTCTGCATGAATACTTTTTTTCTTTGAAACCTGGATACTTTGGATTTTTGGGGTTTTTTTGTTTGTTTGTTTGTTTCTGAGACTTCTGACTCATGGGTTATAAAGCCTCAATTCACGCAGTCATTTGATGAACCAGTATGGAGCAGACTGGTGTAGAAATTCCCTGCTTCTCCATCAGCCTGTGTGCTGAGAGTCACACATATATAGGGGAAGGAGATGGGTTGGGAGAAAGTTCCTATGAAGGAAAAAATTCAGGTGTCTTAAGATGAGAAAATGTTGGTGTGTTCCTAGCATCTTTTTTTCTTCAGTGTAATCGTCAGGGCATGGATTTCCCAATAAATCATGGAAGGTATTTGTGTCTATTTTAAGATCGGCAAGATGGCTCATTTATTTAAAAAGAAGTTAGTGTTGCCAACAGTCAGATGCCTGAGTCTTTCAAGAGACTCCTGTTGATGACCAAGTATGCAAACGGGGTATTTGGTGAACTCCATGTATACAGAACCCTGTCCCAGATACGTGGGAAAGAAGAAAGACCTGGCAAATCCAGTCTCTGCCCTCAAGATTCTTAAAATTTCACAGGGGAAACAAAATAAACAAACACAATGCAGAAGTAGTAAAAACATTTATAAAAAAACATGAACAACTGTGAATGATTATTTGTAATGAAGTCAGATAATTGAAGAGTGGGTAGAAAGAAATGGAGCCACTAGAGTTGGATGAAACACTCTGGAAAGGGGCAAGAAAGTGTATAGGAGATTTTGGAAGAAGACTGTAGAAACATACCTGTAACAAGTGGTCTGCACAGTGTAGGTGCTTAATAAATGGATATTGTATTTGAAAGCATGGAGTTAGAATAGGACCTGCTCTGGTCTTGGTTTAGCCTCAGTTGCACTTTCAAAGACATTGGCAGATTCCAAAAAAAAAAAAAAAAAAAAAAACAGCACAACTCTAAAGCAACCCAGGAGCTTAATTTTGATTGATTGATTGATTGATGGATTGATTGATTGATTTTTGAGATGGAGCCTCACCCTGTTGCCCAGGCTAGAGTGTAGTGTTGCGATTTCGGCTCACTGCAGCCTCCACTGCCAGGGTTCAAGCAATTCTCCAGTCTCAGCCTCTGGAGTAGATGGGATTACAGGTGCATGCCACCACACCTGGCTAATTTTTGTATTTTTAGCAGAAATAGGGTTTCGCCATGTTGGCCAGGGCTGGTCTCAAACTCCTGACCTTAAGTGGTCTGCCTACCTCAGCCTCCCAAAGTGCTGGGATTACATACATGACCCACTGTGTCCGGTCTTCCCAGGAGCTTTACATTGTCATGTGCCATCAGCAACTCTAGTATTTTACATCAGTATTTTACATGGTTTAGAACTGAAGGAATTTGTGCCAATTCTTTTTCTTCATTAGCTAGGATGACCTCCCGCCAACAGAGATTATCCTGCATAAAGAATTCTAATACTGGATCTGGCATAAATTAGTACGTGGGTTATACTTTTGTTTATTCAGATTTCCTCATCATAACTTGACTAGAGAATATGTTAAGTCATATGTGTGTGAAAAACTAAAATATTGAAGTCAAAGGAGATACGATATATGAGCCTGGTTAAAAAAAAAAATTATTTGGATGCCAAACTTTCAAGGAAAAAAAAATACATGGGCAAACTGCTGGCCATTAGGAACTATTTTCTTGGCATATCTGATTAAAGTGTATGCAGGCCTGTCAGCTCTCTCCAGGCATCAACTGTCATAAACTTGTCCCAATTCAAAACCATCTATGATTTTCCACCACTCTGTCAGCCTTCAAAGGATGGGGTTAACTGCATGCTTTCAAATGGAATTGGAAGTGGTTTGTTAATCTCTATTAATTTGCTACTCCTATAACTAAATGCACATGTTTATTTTATTTCTTTTTTTTCTGGATAAGTTGTTAATGATATTAAATTGGCCGTCAGAAACTAAATTATTCTGTAGATATTTTCCTTATGGCTTCTTGGGATTATCTCATGCTACAGTCTTTTCTGAAAGCACAATGGATTTTATCATTTTCAATGATTGCCCTAACTTTTTACAGATGCCATCCCGCCCACTTTCTACAGACCCTACTTCAGAATTGTTCGGTTTGACGTCTCAGCAATGGAGAAGAATGCTTCCAATTTGGTGAAAGCAGAGTTCAGAGTCTTTCGTTTGCAGAATCCAAAAGCCAGAGTGCCTGAACAACGGATTGAGCTGTATCAGGTAATGTTCTTTTTTTTTTTTTTTTTTTTTTTTTAGACAGAGTCTCTCTCTCTCTGTCACAGGCTGGAGCATAGTGGCATGGTCACAGCTCACTGCAACCTTGAACTCCTGGGTTCAAATGATCCTCTTGCCTCAGCCTCCCAAGTCACTGGGACTGCAGTAGTGCACCATCACACCCGATTCTCTTTTTAAAAAACTTTTTGTAGATATGGGGTCTCACCATGTTGCCCTGGCTGATCTGTAACTCCTGGCCTCAAGCAGTCTTCCCACCTTGGCCTCAAAAAGTTTAGGGATTACAGACATGAGCCACCATACCTGGCTCATTTAGGTTGTTGTAATGGGCAATCAGTTTGAAGTCTTAGCACAAAAGAATTCTAGTGTCTTAGATTTTCTTAGCTGATATAAGCCATTCTATATAGTCACAATCATGATATAGGCCCTCATTTGCTATTACTGTTATAGTAATAGCTTGTTCCTAATCACTCAGGAGGGAAGAACCCTTTAGAATGCAGTATTGAAGTTCTGAGCACACTTCCTCGGTTGCATGAACAGCCGGAGTATGTACTCTTGAGAGGGTTTGGTTCCAGAATTCAACCTCTTAAACTGTAAAGTCAGATAATGTAGGTCCGATTCCTTCCTGAGAAGCAGTCAGCTGACCTTCCTTTACTCATCCTATGGCTGTTTCTTTCTCCTTTTCTATGATTTTCTCTTTGTTCGCTTATTGTCTTCTCTCTTCCTGTCTTTTTCACTTTTTTCCTCCTCTCTTTGCAACCTCCTGTGTCTTTATTAACCTTAGCCCGTTTCCTTTTCCTCTCTAATTCTACCCACAGTCTCCAATCCACCTACCCAATACAACCCCCCCCCCCCCGCCCACACACACACACACATACACACACACGTAGTCCTGACGTCTCCTATTCTCATCTTTCTAGTAGAGTTGGAGTTGGTGGGCAGCAGCGTCAAAATATAATGATGATGATGATGAAATGCCAACTTGCTGAGATTTTCAGAGATGTTCTTAAAAGCTTGTTACCTGAGTGTAGTCTACAGGGCATTTGCATCGGCCTCACCTAGGGGCTGTGAGAAATGTAGAATCTCAGGCCCCACTCTAGACTTTACACAGTCAGAATCCCCATTTTAACAAGATTCACAGGTGCTTCTTGTGCACATTAAAAAACCACTCGAAAAATCCTGTGTCTGGTGCAGCCTTATAAACAGGCAACTTAAATACATCCTGATGCCGTATGAATAGTGGTACTCGCATATAGGGTATAGGTGGGGAAATTTCACCAGGGAGCCGACATTTTGGTGAGGCCTTGAGAAGTATCTATTAAAACGCGACGGGGGATCATCATTCTTGGCAGGAAGGGCAGTCACTGCAAAGACAGTCTTGAATGGGCTTGCTGAGGGTACCTGGTACATAGTGCTCAGTGCCTGGAGGTGAGGAGAGACTGGGGAGAAGGTGACCCTCCAGAGATAGTGTGTAGAGTGACACTACAGAGGATTAAGAACAAACCCCTTGGGATCCCCATGATAAGGGGTATGTATATATGACAATATGATTAAAACATGGGATTACTTGAGAAAAAGAAATTGGCATCTATGTTCAGAAACCTCTGGTTTTTCTGGAGTCTAATCATTTGGAATTTGTGATCATTAGAATCAAAATTTTCTTTGTATTCATTATGAAAATGGAGAACTACCATACAAATGAATATGAGACTTGAAGAATAGTTTAAAATACTCAAAGCAGTCGTATTGTTTTCTTTTTCTGTTTTTTGAGACAGCATCTTGCTCTGTCACGCAGGCTGCAATGCAGTAGTGCAATCATAGCTCACTGCACCCTCAACTTCCAGGGCTCATGCGATCCTACAGGTATGCATCCCCATGCCTAGCTAATTTTTTTTTTTTTTTTTTTTTTTTTAGTACAGATGAGGTCTCGCTTTGTTGCCCAGGCTGGTCTCTAACTCCTGAGCTGAAGCGATCATCCCACCTCAGCTTCCCAGTGTGCTGGGATTACAAGCATGAGCTACTGTGCCTGGCCCCAGTTTTAAAGTAGTAGTTCACATGTGTATTCATGAAGAATAATTCTTACTTATTTAAATAGGCCCTCGAGAACCTGTTTTTGGAGACTTTTAAATCCTAACTCGCATTCTGGGTAGCACCAATGGGCCGGCCGTTGCTCGTCACCCCAAGGTCAGAGAGCATGCTTGTGTGACCAGACACTATGCTGAGCAAAGAGTTGGAAGTATTGTTTCCAGTGATACTCACAGCTATACTATGGAGTTTGTAAAATGAAGTGTTCTTTCTGCTATTCTATTCTTTTTCCATTTCACAGAGAATGATGCTAAATCCCAGAGAAATTAAGTAACTTGGCCAGGGTCACACAGGTAGGAAATGGCAGGGCTGGGATATAAATCCACCTCTGACTCCCAAGTCCTTCCATCTCCTCACCACATACTATGCTATTCCTAGCAAATTTTTCCCTTTCTCTTACCCTTGGGATAAGCCAGAATAGAAGAATAATAAGACAAACGAGGCTAGAGGATGAAGTAATATTTGGAGGGAAAGCAAAAATTGGTTCCTATGAAAAAAAGCCAGATTAAGGGTAGCCAGATAAATTACAAGATGATTTAAGCAAACAAACAAAAAATATGATTGTATCTCCTTTTTCTTTTCTTTTTTTAACAATTAAGTCACTCTTAAATTTCCTTCTGTGCTGACAATAGCATCATAGGTTGCTCTCTTTGGCCCTACTTTAGTTAGCTTCAGTAAATTGAAGGCAGGGTCACCTAGGTCCTATTACCTGTAATGGAAGCTGCTAAGTCACTATTTTTCTGTGGCCGTTTGACCCTGTCCTCTGAGGAGTAGCCTCTGCCAACAGGCTTGCCAATGACTTTTTCCTCCCAGGGCCCAACCCTTCTCCAGGAAAGGGTGTTTCTCTTGAGGCTGGCAACTTAGAGGACCTTAGTGAGTTCTTGGTAGATGAGTCTCAGAAGTTTCTGCAGCACTGGCTGCTCCATGACACAAGCGACACAATCTGCATGGCTTAGAGTCCCATGCTTGAAAGAGGAACGGCCCAAGATGGAAGCTTTTAGTTTGGAGAAGCATGGGCACGTTCACTGTCACTATACATGGGCATCTGGAAGGAGAAAGTTCTAGCAGAAAAATATAAAATAATGGCAATTTTTTATCTTTCTGGGGCTCAGCTATACACCTCCTGAAACACAGGCAAGGTCCAGAGAGCAAGTCAAAGAGATCCTTGAACACCCGAAGAGAAGACTATGCACACACACTTCTGATGGATCAGAGAGGCAGCCTCTTGCCTTTTATTGCTTCAACTGGGTTGACTATCTGTAGGGCCACAAGAAATTAGAAGCACTAAATTAAAAGAGGAGGGCTAGAGGAGGACACCATGACATCAGCAGCAGGTCCTTTAGACCAGCAGTCCCCAACCTTTTTGGCACCAGGGACCAGTTTCATGGAATACAATTTTTTCACAGAGCGTTACTTGTGCAGTTTATTTCATTGTAATATATAATGAAATAATTATACAACTCACCATAATGTAGAATCAGTGAGAACCCTGAGCTTGTTTTCCTGCAACTACACAGTCCCATCTGGCAGTGATGGGAGACAGTGTCAGATCATCAGGCATTTGATTAGCATAAGGAGTGTGCAACCTAGATCCCTAGCATGTGCAGTTCACAATAGGGTTCTTGCTCCTTTGAAAATCTAATGCCACTGCTGATCTGACAGGAGGTGGAGCTCAGGCAGTACTGCAAGCAATGGGGAGTGGCTGTAAACACAGATGAATCTTTGCTTGCTTACCTGCTGCTCACCTCCTGCTATGTGGCCCAGGCCCCTAATGGGCCATGGACCGGTACCATCCAGGTTGGGAACCTCTGCTTTAGACTAAAGATTTTTACCAGTGTATCACAGTAATGCTATCTCAGATAATCAGACCACAGAAGCAATGCCTGTTGTGGACAAGTTTTCTAAATCTTACCCTGTTTATAGTTAACCCACTCTTTATCTCCTTGGCTTCCTGTCTGGCTTCTGACTTTTGCTTCTGACCTCTTTATTTGGAGTCCCATTTTTAGCATGGTGTTCTCCAACTTTCCTTTTGTCTTCAGCTGCCATTTGGAGGTCTTTGTAGTCTTTGGTAATAAACTCCCATCTCTAGTCCCATTATAGGAATTGATGCCTATGGTAATAGCCTTGAATTATGAAGATGAGGCTAAATTATAGTCAGGAAACTGAACACATGCAATAAATTTTACAGAGTTTAACATCCAAAATTGCTGAAATATTATTTTGGAAAAAAAAAGATCTGGTGCTTAAGTGGGCAGATCTTCAGCTATTTGGAAAGCTCAGCTCTTCAGAAGAACAAAGCCTCTGAAGTTCTTGGATACCCTTTGATTACTGTATTACTTGACACACAGTTGGCATCCTACTCCCTAGAAGAAGACAGGGTGACCATGAAAAGGTTCTCTGGTCATTTACATGGTTGTTTGGATGATTTATTAGGACTCTTCAGGATGCTGATATTCAGCGGGAGGAGAGTATGTATGTGTGTACATGTGTGCACACGTGCCTGTGGACTTACATGTGAGCATAGGCACTCCACCAGGTTTGGAATCCCTGGGGGAGCTTTTACAAAGACTAACCACAGTTTCCTTCAAGGAGATTCTGATTTTCCCTGGAAAGGAAAATGAGAATTGCCTCGGCACAGATGTTTGTTTCAAAGAACTCTCCTGGTGATTCACATGTGATTGTTCAGATTTGGATCTTCCAATTGGAATTCACAGATTTAAAATATAGCCCAAATTTTTGGGTCATTCTGTCTCATAAAAATGCCTCCAGGTATTTGTTTTAGAGTCACAATATGAGGCTGGATGGACCTAGGAGAGCAATTCCATACATGAATTCAGGATTTGTCTTGTCCAGAGCCGTAAAGGTTTCTCTCCACCTGGGATAGTTAGGAAACCCATGCTTCT